TGCATAACTGGAAAAGCAGGCCCCATTTGGAGATCTTGCCTTAATCCATAGCAATGTTTTGCTGCCTGTCCTCAGAGCGGCAGAGCACAAACTGAAAGGACTCAACCGTGTTGGCTTTTCTGCTGCTAAGATGGCCACAGACCTGTAGGAAATTAGAAATTTGTGTACAAGGTGTTATGAAAATGGGTAAAAATTAGGAAAAACTTAAAAACACTACTAATAGCATCTATGAAAAAAACTTTCAAAAAAAGCAACATGCTCTATTTATTAGATAACCCCTCTGCTTGGTTTCCCACCTGCTAGAATCTCTGTAGATGGTTGAATCCCTTGCATATGAAACATATCACCAAGTATATTATGTGCATTATTTCAGAGGGATGGTACTGAAGTCACTGATTATTTTATTTTTTTACCTAAGCCATCCTACCATATTTCTTTTTAAAATGGCTTTCAGATGGATGGATATGCTAGATAGCAGAATGATTAAGAGGAGATGAGTTGTCAGTATTTATCGCCTTGGTATTTTAGTGTAACTTTCTTTTCAATGTATTTCATAATAATGCGGTAGAGTAATAGCTGTGATTAACGATGGCTTGGAAAGTCCCAGGGAAGTGAACCTCCTGGTCTCAGCAGCCAACACTGAGGCACCACGGTGAATCTTGAGGCATTGGCATTCGATTCTATTGGGACCTCAGCTGTGCTGTGATGTTACTGAGACAGGATGCACATGGTGTGCTAAACATCCTTCATAGCTGAGACTCAGGTATGAGCATGAGCTCATCCCCGTAGCCCATCTGAGTTCCAGTGTGATCCTAGCTGCTGGAGAGGAGGTTCTTAGAAGAGCTGCTTGCCCCTCCTTCATAGCTGGGACTCAGACATGAGCACATCCACACAGTCCATGTGAGTTCCAGTGTGATACTACCTGCTAGAGAGCAGGCTCTCAGAAGAGTTGCTTTCCCTTCTAGCATGGTGACTGAGATCTATCTGATCAAGGGCTCCTTGAGGCAGGAAATCTAGCAGCCGCCAGAAGCTTCCAGCTTTCCTTGCTAACTGTTACTTCTTCTGTTACCTAACTTAAGGCACACTTGAGTAGAATCAAGTGAATTTCTAGGCTTATATGTTTAACTCTATATGTTCTGGAGGGAAACAGGGAGACTTTATTGTTTAAATTAATTCCCCATATTTATGCTCTTGGACAAATGATAAGCACGGATGCTGCTAAGAAGCCATAGGTTGGTTCAGGTGTGAACGTTTCAGCCTCGCATGTCCTGATGTATTTTTAAAGACTGTGTGGAAAGAGCCAAGTTAGCGCATAACAGAGCTGGCCTGATTGTTCTCTGGTTTGGTGTTTTCGTTCAGCCTTTCCATGTAGCAAATGAACAAAATTGAGCAGAAGTTATGCTTTATGGGGCAATGAGAAAGCAAAAGAAGATACCAACTGTTGATTGATGTGTGTTTTCCAGTAACTCCCCCCCACACACACACAAGTGTTCTTTTCTGAATTAGTATAAAGAGTGAAGGATGGTTCTTAAAAAAAAAAAAGTTGTAAAAAAATACATCTTCAGACTTCCAGTGTTCGGGCGTGACTGCTTTGACAAAGACCTTTGAAGGGAGCCATTGTTGCATGAGTAATTGATACTGAGATTCACCCATAGGCAAGGAATTAAAAGATGGGCGGTGCTTACTTGCTTCACCCTTCATGCCCTATGGCCCCGGGTGACCTCTCCAACACTCCCCCACCCCCACCCCGCTCTGGCCTTCCCCTATCGTTTCCTCCTCCCCATTTGGAGGTCAATGTTTTACCGGGTATGCATTCCTAAATTTTTAGATTCTTAGAGAGGCAAAAAAAAATCCACCCAGTTTGAGAGGAAGTTTATTTAACAAAGTGAAGCGCAGGACAGCATGCTCTCGACACAGACTGTAGCCACTGACCAGAAGGGCGGAGTATGTGTCAGAAGATGCTGGTGCCAGCCTATTGGGTTCTGCATTGCATAATTTAAAGGAATGCTTATGAATGAATATGCCCGAGATAGGTGATATACTACTGATGAAAAGTATCACTCTTTCCCATCTCAAATTACAGAGGACTAGAGGACTGGATCTCCTTTTAAGTTCTAGATGTCACCTTTTAAAAAAGGGTCTGTGTGTGTGTGTGTGTGTGTGTGTGTGTCTGTCTGTCTGTCTGTCTGTCTGTTTGCTCGTCCGTCCGTATCGTCTGTGTGCAGGTGCCCAAAGATCCCAGAAGAGGGCATCAAATTCACTGAAACTGGAGTTATCGATGGTCATGAGCCACCAGACAGAGGTGTTGGGCACCAAACTCAAGTCCTCTGGAAGAGCACCAAGCCACGCCCACAGCCACATTTTAGGATATTCATATCCAGGTTCTTTTTAAAAGCCCACAGGAACATGGTGGGGGACAGGCAGTCAAACTACATTCCAAGTGATATTATGATATCAGAGTGGTTTCTGTTAATTTAGATCTTTTATTAGTGTCCATGTGAGGCAGTTGGGAAAGTTTCCTTTGTATCTTTGTTTCTGATGTAAATGGAGGACCCCAACTACAACTTCAGGGGTGTTTAACAGCAATGAAGCACACACTGACCATTGGAAGAAATTGCTCCTGGGATATATGGTTTTTTCCCCGTTATATCTGTCTCCTGACCTATTCAGTCTCTCACATAAATGACTATTCGTGTGACCATTTATGTTCATTTTCAAGTTTGAATTGTATAAATACTTTGTCCTCTTCCTGTTTTCTTATCTATGTTGTTAACAACAACTTTCTAAACAATCACTTTAAGTCCTTCCTCCCTGCACTATCCAGACGGATCACTAAATATATATTCTGATTTCGTCCATTGCATGGTTCAAATCCTTTAGCCTTGTGGAGGTAGTGTATATTGCCCTAAACAGTGATAAACATGTAAACTTGAGTAGATACACCACATATACACATACACCACACACACACACACACACACACGCACACACACACACAACACACACACACACAAATGTAAGTGATACTAAGAATTTCTGGGAGAGATCTGTAAATCTCATTAAAGTCATGTCCTAGCTTCCTGGCTATGTCAGTAGATGATGGTTTTTTTTTTTTGATACTTCCCTTAGGTAAAATTGCATAAAGCAAACTTAAGATCTCTTTATAGTATTTATCATAATCATTTATGAATCTATAATTATCTTGAGACAAGAAATCCATTTAAAATGGCTTAAAAGGTAATGCTGAAACAGCTCAGTGGACAAGAGTGTGTACGGACCTTGCAGAGTTTGGTTCCCAGTAACCACGCCTGGTAGCTCACAACCACCTGTAACTCCCTCTCTAAGAGATCCAGTTCCCTTTCCTGGATCCACTGATACCTGCACTCATGCGCATATATCCACACAGACACAGGAATGTACACATGAAAGAATAGCTGGCAAAAGGACCTTTTGCTGTCCTAAGTCCTAGTGCCGGTGCTTCTTTAGACACACATGTAAATTTCATATCCTCAAACACTGCATAGCTCCGCATTCCGTGTCCAACATTTTACACAGCCTGAACACAGAGTTTCCTCAAGTTGTTTCACATGCACCAAGTCATTGTCCATCTTAGCAATTCATCTTTGACTCTAGCCCCAAGTGGAAGAGACAGACACCTGATTGGCCTCCTTGCTCTTCTACCTACTCTGCACATTAGTGCTTACTACACGGGCTTATTCTCCCTCGGCCACTTGGCTCTTCCCTTGGTCCTGCAGAAATTATATAACACGATTTAATAGAGATGTGTATACTCACCAAGTTTATTATGGATTTGTTTCGCTCTTGCCTCCCCCATGACCTCCCAGAGGAATGAGACAGTCATACTCACTCTTTTATTTTCACTACTCACATGCTTCTTGGTGAACAAGGCATATTTTACTCATTATTTTGTATATTTCACCTGATCGAGGTACTGACGAGGTAGGTTAGTATCATTTATTACTAACTGCAGTGTTGTGATCACCTACCACGTAAAGAGACTATAGAGTAAATGTTTGACAGGGAAGAGGACTTACTGCCCTTGTACACTATTAATTTAATTAATTTTTATAGGAAGAGCACTGATTTAAGAGCTAACTGATTTCATTCTGAGGTAAAATTAGCCTCCTGATCATTACAGCAAATCACTACCCAGATTATCTAGGCAGATAATATTCAGACGTGGAGAATATATCCACTGTGAAAGCTGGAGTTTTGCTCTAGATAAACAGGGATCAGAGTTGAATTTAAAAAAAGAAAAAATAAGCATACTTGAGGACCTAACAGCAAAATGAACAAATTGAATTGGCATTAACTGGCACAGTATCCTGGTGTTTGTTGATCCCTTAGTTAACCTAACTCCAATTAAGCAACACCTCCGCACACACCCTGGTAAACAACTTGTGATTAAAAAATAATAATAATAAAGCCTTAGGTCCAAGAGCTTATACTTATTGTCCAAGAGTGTGACGCTAAAATTGTAGCTATAGGAGAAGTTGTTAATCTGAGGGTGAAATTTAAGTTCTCTGAAATCACTTCTGTTTTTCAATTCTATCTCTTGCCTGCTGGAGGCAGAAAAGGCAGATAACCATTTGAGGCACTTATAAAATAGACTTAATGATAGGCCAGACTTGCCGACAGATTTAATGAAGGGGTGTTTGTTTTCTTTTTGAAATCTACACTCTGTTGGGAAGTGTAAGTATAGCATACAGTAACAATGCTATTAATTAAGAGAGATGAATTTGATAAAGGAGACTTGATGGTCTAGCATTGGAAGGTCTGCCTTGATTTTATGCAGAACGTAGGCCCATGCTGCTTTCGAATGAAGCACCAATTGTGCACCTTAGGAACGGGGCTGCACACGCCTGTCTGACTGTAGAGACTCATTGGTGTTTTCCAGATGGTTTAGATTTTGATTTTATTAGCCAGTGTCGTGAATACAGAAACTATAATCTTAGCTTCATTTTCTTTGTCCTTTTAAGTTTCGTAGAAACCCCAGCTCATTTCTCTTGGAAAGAAAGTTATTACCGATCCGCCATGTCACAGAGCTCCCAAACAAGTGAGTTGTTCAGCCCGGAAGTGTTCCAGCATATTTGGGATTTTCTGGAACAGTAAGTATCATCTAATCAAGAAGTGTACCTGAACTCTTTAAGAATAAGTAAACACAAATGGCGGAAATATCATTTATTACAAAATATTTTTTGAAAAATGAGTTAGCAAAAGTTATACTTTTATAAATTTAAGGCCTTTGATAATATATATATATATATATATGCATTGGAAATAAATTAGTTTTCTTTCTCTAGTTTCCAATACCAAAAGAAGATCATTGTCTTAAAGTAGCTCACTGTAGACATTCTAAATGTTTTTTCCAGAACAATCCAAAACATCTTCCCCAGTGTCCGTGTCTGACACTCAAACCCTGTTCTTTTTTCTTGAAGACATATCCCCTAAGAAGGTGAAACACTTCATTGCAGTAGTCAATTAAACCTTTCTGTGAAAAATGGTTATCACTGTTTTGATCGATACCAGGTTTTAGTTAAGTTACTACAAAGATGAAAGGGGACACCAGAGTGCTTCCCGCACACTGCTGACATTCCAGGATCTACACATAACTCTGTCACTAATCTATCCATGTTGGCCTGCATGTCAGTCAGCAGAGATCGTGCCTCCAACTTGCCAAGAAGGATTTAGTTTGCCCTTCCTCAGATTCTTCATATGGGAAATGGTTGAGTCCAGATGCAAACCTGGGGTTTTTGATTTCTAAGCAAGGATCTGCCAACATTGAGACAGAACATATTCAATATTCCTAGTTAAGTAGTTAAGTGCCTTGTAGCTTCTCCCAATTTGTGATACACACTTTCTTCCCTCTTTGTGCTAGGCCCATATGTTCAGTACAGCCCATCGACTTGAACTTTGTGGAAGAACCATCAGAAAATGGTGCAACAAACAAGATTGAGATTAGCATGGATTGTATTCGCATGCAAGACTCAGACCTCACTGACCCCATGTGGGTGAGTACCCTGAGCTTCCTCTTCAGTGTGTGGGCCAGGCTATCGGCAAATCAAAAGTCAATGGTTCCGAACAGATCGGAACATTGGGAAGAGAGCAAACCTAGTCAACTGGGGAATGATCAGCTGGGTTTTCTTTTCCTTTGTTTGGTTGTTTTCTGAGTTGTTCTTCATGTTAAACCCAAATTAGAGAGGATGATGTCTCCAGGGTTTGCAGACTCCTAGAGAAGCAGAAACTGGAGCTGATTCTGCCCAGATCCAGCCACTGTCGGAACCGCTTTTCTCGCTTGGCTTCACTGTAATGTTGAAGGAAGAAGTAACTACTGTGTGTGCACTCGGGAAAGGAACAAAGGCGATAAATAAGCTGTATTGTCTGGTCACTGTGTTGGTTCTAATGTTAGGATGCTAGATCTGTGACCTAGGCAGCTAATGGCCAAGCTATACCAGTGACTTCCATCTCTGGCTAGGTCAGGAATATTACTTTTAGGTTTGATACAGATCAAAATACTAATACCTACACTAATGAGAAAAAAACAGATTATTCCCAGCAGAGGTCTGCCTGTCTTAAAGAAGTTGTGTGTTCTCGTACTGAAAAGATTTTCTAGTCTGACTCTTGGCCACATGGGAATACCAAAAGTTAGGAGGTTTAAAATCGCAGGCTTTTCAATTCCCTGCTCCTATGATCATTCTGATTTACACACTGACATAGCTGGTTTCCTGATGTTCTAGGCTCTCCTGTTGTTTCATTTTGCTGTTGAAAACATTCTCTTCTAAAACACCATTTCCACGTGTTCCCTCCCTCTGTCCAGCACTAATGTGCTCTTCACTGCCCTCATTGCTTTCTCTTGGATTCCTTTCTGTGTCGCTATCTCCCTCCCCTGGAATTAAATACCATCCCTCTGAAGCAACCGTGATGCTAACGTTCGGTATGTTCTGTGTTACACAATACTATACCTGTTTATTTCTCTGTCTTTCGGGGATCAGGGACCATATTTTTGTCATTGGAGTTCTCGAGAGCACAAAGTAGAGGTTCAGACAGAAGGCAGTAGGGTTTGGCCAGAGAGGACAAAATAATAAGAAAGCCCTTGAGGCAGCTATATTGATATGTCCATGGAAGGAGAGAAGAAATGAATTTCAACAAATAAACAAGCTTACCTTTCTGTAGATACCCTGTTTTTAATTCAAAAGATTTTACAATTGTCATAAACTCTAATTTGATATGAATTGTCAACTTCTATATTAGCACTATTCTAATACCTTCTTATCTTTATCTCTGAATACACATAGTTAAATATGATTGGCAGTTACACACACAGGGCCAAATTACAAGAGGCCTCAGCAGCAGGCGTGGCGAAATAGTGGCTTTGTGCAAGATGCGGTAGCAGTGCTGTGCTCTGTGAATCAGGAATTAGGGTGTCTCTGAGATGCCCGGTCCTTCTCAACAGCTGTGCTACTGAGAGGGGCTTGTTTCAACTGTGAAGTAGCAGTCTTTCACATTTCCATTATCAGTTAATTGCTAAATACTTTGTAAAGTCTACACATAAATTGCTTTCCCCATCAATGCAGTATTTTAATAAGTTGGGAACTCAGCCAATTCTTTTCTCACTATATAAGAAATGCAACTCTATAATGGGCATGAAAAGACATGTCAGATTACTAAGGATAAAAATTGAGAAATTCATTCTATTCTTTTCTGATTTTTCATATGGCCAAGAAATAAAATCATGATATTTTGGTCTGATTATTAACAAAGAAAGTTAAAGTATGGATGTTAAATTAGATTGTAACAACATGTAGATACTGTGTATCTTTTTAAAAATTAGAATGTGTTTTATGCCTCTGAAAATTAGTTCCTCCTGGGTTAAGAGTGAGGGTGAGTGAAATATCTCAAAAGAAAATCATATTTTAATCTGTTTTTTCAGTGCCTTAATGATTTTTGATTCTATTGTTTTATATATTACTGTATTTCTCCATCTTGCCTTGCTTTAAATCTGTGTAAGCAAGCCTCTAAAATGATCAAAATGTATATTAAATAGTAAAACTAAGCATTCTCCTTAGCTACAGATACTGGCCAAGTAACTATTTTGCCCTTATTTTTCCTTCATACTTCACATTATCAGAGTTTTCTTTAAGGAGACTGTGTGGTAATTACCTAAAATGCTCTGTTTTTATAAATCCTTACTGACTCATCCCAGATACACTTAAGAAGTCTTCAGCTCTACATGTCAACAGACTTCTATTGTGTATGTGCATGTGTGTGTGCATACTTGTGTGTGTGTGTGTATGTATGTATGTATGTATGTATATGCATGCGCGGACACGCATGCATGTTTGGTAAAATAAGCCATAGTACCTGTCCTAGTACCTATCATAGTACCCTACTTATATGACCCAGATTTATATAAAATTTCCATCCTGTTTACAAGTCCAAACAGTCTTATTATTTAGTAACTACATATGGCATTTCCTTATGATGCAGATGAGGAAGTCATTGGTTATCCCCCTCAAGAAGGCTATGAAATAGCTAGCATCAAAAGCAAATGGATATAAAGTTGCCTATGAAATCTACTCAGATGTATGGGTATTCTTATAAAAACACGACAAAGTATTGATTTATTAAGATTGAGAAAGACAAGCAATATGTTACAGAAGAGTGATTTGTATTTAGGCTTTGAAATATGAGTAAAATTGATTATAAGGGGCAACATGACTCCTCATTTGCAAAACTGATATCATCAAATCATAGCTTGAAGGAACTCTGAAATATGAAGAGGTCAGGCTAAAAATTCAGCTAAAGAATATATATATAAGCAAAATTTGGGCAATAAAAATTGCAGTGTTGAGAGCTAGAGAGATAACTTGGCCGTTAAAAGCACTGGATGCTCTTCCAGAGGACCAGGATTCTATTCCCAGCACAGACATTGATTGACATTGAAAAGCTTTATAGAATGATACTCCCTTTTACACATTTGATAGAATTTACCGGTGGAACCATCTAGGTCTGATAAGTCTTTTCCAGAAGCGAGAAATTGAACGTCTTTATTGGACTGCTGCTATTATTTTGTCTTGGGCAAGTCTGGACAAAATGGAGTTTTTGAGAACAGGATAAATTGAATCAACTTGCTAAACCCATGCATACAGAATTGTTTGGAATATTGCCTTTGTATTCTATTAATACCAAAAAGGTAATTATATTTTTATTTATTATGTTGGAAACTTTCAGTACCAGAGACTTACTGATTTTGATTATCTTTCAACAAAACACCTTAAATTTTACTTTAACTTTTTTTCTAATGTTTATCTGTGTCCAACCTCACTTTTTTTTCTGGTTTGCTTTCCTTGCTTCTGTGTCTTTGGTTTTACTTTGCACCCCTCCCTTATTTCCCCTGTTTTTCCCAAAGTTTTCTCCACCTCTACCATTCCCCTTTCCTCTTCCTCTTTCCCATCTTCCTCCTCCGCTTTCTCATTTTCTTCCTTCTTTCTCCCTTTGCTCTTCATCCTGCCCTGCTTCTCCTTTCTTGTCTTACAGCCATCCCTCTATCAAAGCTCTAATATCCTAGCTTCCTCACCTAGAAGTTTATATTTGTAAGTTGATTATTTTCATTTTCTCCGGGAGATGTTGGCATTTACAATAAATTTCCCACTAGACATTGCCTTAGCTGAATCCAATAAATGCTGATGTACTCCATGTGCTTTTTTCAGTTTCTGTTTAGTTTTAAATATATTCACCCTCTTTTGGAACTTCAACTTGGAGCTATTAGTGTTGGGAAGCATACCACTGAAGTACATGTCTGCACACTCTGCTTCTGTTGTGTGGGAGGTTCTATAAATAGCAATTGGATCCAATTGGCTTTGGAACTGTAAAGAACTACATTCTTTCTGCTTTTCTGTCTCCTGTTATATTGACTACTGAGGGTTGAAGTTCAACTTTCAACTACCAAGCAGTGAACTCAAGAGAAGAATTATGGGCTATTTATTAAATAAGATGCTTATCAGTTCGAGTGTTCTTTCTTGGGGGAAAACTACAATTCTCACTGAGCATTGCTAAGTTACCCTTCAGTTACCAGAATGGCTGCTTTCAAAGTAAACAATGCCTGTGTTTTTGAAGCAGAACAGAAAGACAAGTTCGATTCTCATGTCCAGTCTTGAATTGATCTGAATTTATTAATACTCCTAATTTCTTCCTTTCCTCTGTCCCAGCTTGCAGGTACACATGCATACATGAATGCACCCACATGTAATGCACTTTGAACAGCACAGATATTCTAATATTAGAGAATAAAGTCATAGCAGTTTCTGGCATATATAATGTCATGCCATCATCATCATCTGCTAAATTTTAAGATTTATATATGTATTAACTACACACGGTCTGGGGGGAAGCAAACTATTTAGAAGTTGTTCACAGGAACTGCTTTCGTTAACTTAGGTCAGATCCAGGAGTTAGCATATGCCCTCTCCTGACTCCACAAAGCTCTGGGGTGCATTCATTTGTCTTTTCCTGTGCACCCTTGTCCCCAGGTTCTGGAGATGTGCATTGTCACAGCTCAGCCTGGAGACGATGGGTAGAACCTACTCTAAGGAAGGCATCATTGGTTGTCTTCTCTTCTCTTTCAGTTTTGGCTCCCATGAGGCCTCTAGAGCCATTCTCAAAGCATCACCATCTTTTGTTCCGTGCCTTTCCCCTTTGTCGTCTACACCCTTGTCTGGTCTTTTAGGAAACTCGTTGAATTCAGTGTATGTAGATTTGGTTACAATCATTAGAAAATGGTCAGTGAATACTTTATGTATGTGATGAAGTGGTATAGGAAGGTCCTTCTGTCTATGTGTTGATTTTATTGGTTAATGAATAAAGAGAAATGGTGTGGCCTATAGCATGGGAGGAGGAAGGTGGACTTAGGAGAGCCATGGAGCTGCCACCAGAGATAGACATGCTGAAGCTTTAGCCACTAAGCCACTGCCACATAGCCATACACAGATTAATGAAGATGGGTTAAATTAAT